TGCAAAATGTCAGGCCTGAGGGAGCTAAACTCTGCACACTTAAACCCCAACATTTGTGTACAACCAGAGAAATTAAAAATTGTGCTCCATTTGTGTACTATGTATAGAAGTGCATTCTGTTATCATGTATAACTAATTAGAACAAATAATTGAAAATAAATGAAAAAAAAAAAAAACCATCCAACTGGAGCTGGGCATGATGGTACCTGCCTGCAATCCCAGTGACTTGGGAGGCTAAGGCGGGAGGATCATGAGTTCAAAGCCAGCCTCAGCAACTTAGTGAGGCCCTAAGCAACTCAGTGAGACCTATCTCTATTAAAACATAAAAAAGGTCTGCTGATGTGGGTCATTGGTTAAATCACCCATGGTTCAATCCCTGGTACCCCAGAAAACCTCAAAAGACACACACACACAAAAACCCAGTGAATAAATGGGCAAATGAAGTAAACGGATACTTCTCAAAGGAAGAAATACAAATATACAACAAATATATGCAAAAATGTTCAATATCTTTAGCCATCAGAGAGATGCAAATTGAAACTGCACTCAGATTTCATCTCATTACGGGTAGAATGGCAGCCATGAATTATCCAAACAGCAGTAAATGCTGTATACATTGGAGGAAAATAAAAACTTTTATAATGTTGGTGGGATTGTAAACTAGTAAAAGACTAGGAATGGAACCACCATATGACCACTTCTTGATATTTATCCTAAAGCAACACAAATACTCATGTTTACAGTAGCATAGTTCACAATAGCCAAATTGTGGAACCAACCTAGATGTCCATCAACAGATAAAGTGAGGGCTGGGGCTGTAGGTCAGTGGTAGAGCGCTTGCTTTGCATGTGTGAGACATTGGGTTCGATCCTCAGTACCACATAAAAATAAATAAACAAAATAAAGGTATTGTGTTAATCTGCAACTAAAAATTATATATATTAAAAAAGCACCAATTTAAAAAAAACAGATGAAGTGATAATGAAAATGTGCTATGTATACACAATGGAGTTTTATTCAGGCATAAATAAGAAAATATCAGGAAAATGGATGAAAATGGATGAAATATAAGTTTTATATTAAGCAAAATAAGCCAAACTCAGAAAGTCAAGGGTCATATGTTTCTCTCATATGTGGAACCTAGAGAAAAAAAAGTGGGGGCTCTCATGAAAATGGAAGGGACACTAGTAGACTAGAGAAAAGGAACCAGGGGAGGGAAAAGGGGATGGAAATGGAAAATGCTGGGTGTTAAGGTTTAGATATGAGGTGTTCCCCCAAAAGCTCATGTGTAAGAAAATGCTAGAAAGTTTAGATGTGAGATGATTGGGTTATGCGAGCCTTATCTGATGTGGATTATCTGGGCAGTAAGTATAGGTAGGTAGGGAATGGCTGGAGGAAGTAGGTCACTGGCAGGTGTGACTTTATATATATTTTGTCCCTGGTGAGGAGAGCCTTGTCTACTTCCTGGTTGCCATGTCTGAGCTGCTTTCATCATCCTCACCCTTCTACAACGATGTTATTCCTCACCTCAGGCTCAAGGTAATGGAGTCGACTGTCTATGGACTGAGATTGCTGAACCTGTGAGTGTATAATAAACTTTTCTTCCTCTAAATTTTTTTTTGTCAGGTCTTTTGGTCACAGTGGTGAAAAAGTTGACTAAAACACTGTGAAAAACATTGACCAAATTGTTGTATATGTGCTTATATGTGGGGACAAGTGCATGGAGTACTGCGTACATGGCATACATTAAGGGCATCTGAGTGGCAGGCCACTCCCCTCATGCTAGGCGTGTGTGTGGCAGACCCCTTACCCCATAGGCACAGCCCTGGGCATGAGGTCATGTGTTGCAGTCCACGGCCCACTCCTCGATTGGTTGCTGCAAGGACAGTTAGGAAGAAATTGTATTGGTGGCTGCCTGTAATCTGCCTAGCTACTGCCTTTGTATATATACATGGTAACTGTGCAATAAAATCATACTTGATTCCAGCTTGGTCTCCAGAGATCTTGATTAGTGACTCCACAGCCACACTCTCCTCTACCCTGTTCTGTGGACCTCCTCATTGGACAAGAGAGAGCCCATGCACTTTTATAATAACCAATCCCACTATTATGTATAAATATAATGTATCAATAAACATATGGAAAACAAAAGAAAGGTAAGGTTGAAGTTTATCTAATAGTCAATAATAGTCAGTAATATCTAATGTATATTTTCTATGAACATGTAGAAAAGACTAAATAGCCAATTCAAAACATGGGTTTTGAATAATTATGGGAGTTAAACAACTATAATTGAGAATGCTTAATTTACTTATAATGTTATAATAAATTAAAAGTGTAATGGATGTCAGCATTTGATCTATAATTAAAAGAAAATTTTATATAGAATGTGTGAAAGTTGCCACAGTTTGGGCTAACAGTATATAAATGTAAAAATGGGTGAAAGAAAGAGAAACATCTCAAAAGCATAAAAAAGTTGCACAATTGGAAAAGTGAAAGCCAAACAAAACAGAATAATAAGTTCAAATTCAGTAATAATTAGAAAATGTAAGTTAAAATAATGAATACTCATTCTATACCCATTATTTTGGCACAAACTAAAAATGTAAAAAATTGAAGATTGACTAGGACATGGGGAACATGAAATACAAATAATCTGATTATATTATACCATGATTTGGTATACTCAACACAACAACTTAGTATTTAGAAAACTTGAAGAAGTTACACTAACAACTCACCATTTGTCATTCTGGGGCATACTCTACATAAACTCAGGTAAGAGTACACAACAATATTAATTTCAGCATTGTTTATAAGAACGAACCAAAATGATCAACAATAGAATGGAAGTTTGAATTTATTTTTCTATGATTCAAAAAATGTCACATATGTACTCTCCAACAGTCTTTGAATGTAACAAGGAATGTTAGAGACAAGCAGAGAAAATTAAAAACAACAACAACAACAACAACAAAATAGTGAATGACAAAAGCAAGCTGCAGAAAATAATTCAATGTGATAACATCTGCATTTTAAATTTAGACAAGTTGGATTATGAGCCATTTCAGAGTTCTATTTTAGGCTTGCTGGCAAAGTGATCACCAAGAAATAAACATTTTCTTGAATATCCTTAAAAAATTGATTTATCTAGTTAGAGAAAGATATTTTAGATATGACAAGTACAGGATTGCTTAGTTTTACAAAGCACAGTGTTGTCACACTCTTATCAGTTGTGTAGTGTATACTTGGGTAATAAAAACCTAGAACCATCTCATAGAAATCTCAGGTGTGGGTCATTAAAGAGATTATATATATATATATATATATATATATATATATATATATATATATATATATATATAAAATCTTTCATAAGATGCATTTAAAAATTATTGAGTGATAAAACACACAGCATGTATGTGTGTGTGTGTCTAAAATTAACTTACTGTGCATCTTAAGAATCTTAGCATTGAAAGGGGGGGAATATTGTAGGGACAAAGGAGGCAAGGCACCGAAGATAGCAGGAAACAGTTTTATTTGGCTGCAGCCAGGTTCAGAGGGCACAGATTTTGCTGTAATCAATCAATCCCCTGAACCCCGAGTTCAGGGAGTTTCAGAGTTTTATACCCTGCATGTAAGGGGAGGGGCTAAAAAGTTTACAGTCTGCAGAAGTTCACATAAAAGCAGTTTTTTCTTCCACTGTTCTGGGCAAGTTAACCCTTCAAGGACAACACCTGAGAAGGGGAGAGCTTCTTCTCCCCTTTCTTTCTTCCCCCTGCCAGCTGTTACCATGGAGCCCAGTTGGTAACTTCTTTTATCTTAGAAATGTAGACATCTCTGTGAAGCCCAGCTCAAGGCCAGAGGCCTTGTTTGCACATTTCTACAAACTTCTATACTGGATATGTTTGTGAAAAACTAGTAAGGAGATGTCCAGCACCTGGAGTACTGGTATCTTTTCGGGGAGTGGCCAAGTAAAACAGAGCAACACAAAAATAGGAAGTTTATCTACATTGAACTTTTTTGCAGAGATTCTTTTGCTGACAGTCCTAAAATCAGCCATGGAGAAGAATTCTGGAGAAGCCCAGTTAAGTCTTTTCTGTGGAGAAATGGGGTGCCACTTCAGGAAAAGAACAGGATCTGTGCTGGAGTATAAAACAGACTTAGATATTTTTGGTAATATACTATTTCCATTTTAAGAGTTCAAATAAAAATAAATGTTAATTCTCAATGGAGAGTACTTAGTACTTCTAATATTGCTATATATACTCTACTTTTTTTCAAATTATCCACTAAAAATTATTTTACAAAGAATTTTTAAAAAAACTTAATTTGCATAAATGGTGCAAGCTTTATAAGAGCACAGGAAAAAAAGGAAAAAAAAAAGAGTGCTATTTTGCTGTGAGCTCTGGGGAATGGGAAGCAAAGGAAGTTGATTTTTTTTCAAGTCAATTTTCTGAATTTTGCACATTTCTCACATTGTGCATGCAATTCTGCAATCAGGGAAAAAGAAAAAAGGAAAAAGTATCCGTATGAAATCAAGCCCAGGAATGAGCAGTCAGTTAAATTTACAGATTAGGTCAAAATGGCAGTCAGCATTGAACACCAATTTCTCTCATATTCCTAATCCCCTTAAATGATAGGAAAGGCAGGTTTTGGTATTTAAGTAACTCTGTGAGGGCATGGAGGCAGGAAGCAGCAAATTCCTGGAAGAAGAAAAGCAGATGGGGTAGAGGCCCTGAGTGGGTGGAGTTGGAAGTGGGGGTGGGGAGCCTGGGAGTCCCTAACTGGAGGAGGAGACACCAGACAGTGGGGGCAGGGGTGGTGGTGGTGGTTCTAGGCCCTGAGTTTACTGATTTGGAGAAGGGGCGGGGCCTAGCGCCCAGCTGCACGACCCCCCCCCCCACCGCAGTCCCTCCCGCAGGCCAGTGGCTGGGGGTGGGGGTCGGGGAGGGGATTGTCGGGCTGTGTTTGGCAGGAAGGGGAGGCCTCTCTTCTGGCAGGAAGCTGCGCTAAGAAAAGAGGGAGGAGACTGCACCGGCAGCAGCCCCTGGTGGAAAAACCTATGTGTGGCAGAAGTGCTGCAGCGGCTGACACCGAGGTTGAGGGCGAGCGATCCCAGCGCTGGGGACTCCACCGCCGCCCTCCTACACAAGCTTCTTGCCTCAGAATCTTCGCCCCTCACCTCTTGCAAACACTCATTCGGCTGGTCGCCTGCTGCGCCTCCTGCATCACAGGCTTACAGCCAAGGCAGCAGTGAGGTGTCCGATTGGGACACGTGAAGAACTGGATCCCAGACGGTGGGGAGGTGGGCGCTGAACTGAGGGGTTGGTAGGAAAACTGGCAGGAACATTGGAAAGAATGATGGGTTTGAGATGAGGGAAACTGGGAAGGGTAATTTGGGAGCAGATGGTGATGGTGAGGAATACTAGGATGGTGTACAGAGGTGGCCAGAAAGGGAATTTTTGGTGCGAGCACCAGTGGTAAAATGTAGATAGCCAGGAATAGATATGAAGGAGAAATGAGCACCAGGTAGCCTGCATGGGTATGGACAGGAATAATGAATGAACAGTAGGGGGCTAAGGAGAGGAGACATGGGGACTGCTTGTACTGAAATGGAGAGATGAAGTTAGGGCTAGAAATGGTGAATGTGTTTGTGGGGCTAGAATGGGGACAGGGGATCAGGAGATATTCAAAAGATCCCATCTGGGGTCCCAGCAACCAGGACCACCACAGCAACTTGCTTAGTTTTCTTGTGCAGCCAAATAAGCCTGGAATGAGGGCAGGCACCCTAGGGTGTATTGATACCTAATATTGCTACAGGACACATATGAATAGCTTGTGCAGCAATATACCTTGTGTGTAAGGACTTGGCAATACAGAGAAAAAACCCTCACTTTATATTACATAGAATGTCTCTCTCTAGCTTCTTTCCTCCCATTGCAGGAATGAAAATGCACCACAAAAAGACAGCTGCAAGACAGCAAACCAGGGAGGCTCCAGGTCACCACACCAATTCTACAACCTTCAGGAAGAGAAAGGCCTCACAAAAGAAGCAGAGGAGGAGATCTTCACAGTCCCAGAGGAACATCGTGGGCTGCAGAATTTCTCATGGATGGAAGGAAAGTGATGAGCCCATCACCCAGTGGAAAGGAACTGTTTTGGATCAGGTGCCTATAAATCCCTCTCTTTATCTGGTGAAATATGATGGAATTGACTGTGTCTGTGGACTGGAACTTCACAGAGATGAAAGGATTTTAAAGCTTAAAATCCTTCCTGATAAGGTGCCACTTTTTCAAGTCAGAGATGTGCACTTTGAAAATACTATAATTGGGAAAGCAGTGGAACACATGTTTGAGGGTGAGCATGGTTCTAAGGATGAATGGAGGGGGATGGTCCTAGCCCAAGCACCTATCATGAAAACCTGGTTTTATATTACCTATGAGAAAGATCCTGTCCTGTACATGTACCAGCTTCTAGATGATTATAAAGAAGGTGACCTCCGTATCATGCCAGAGTCCAGTGAGTCTTCTCCAACAGAAAGGGAGCCAGAAGGAATTATAGATGGCCTGATAGGTAAACATGTGGAATATACCAAAGAAGATGGCTCCAAAAGGTCAGGCCAAGTCATTCTTCAAGTTAAAGCCAAACCTTCTGTGTATTTCATCAAGTTTGATGATGATTTCCACATCTATGTCTATGATTTGGTCAAAAAGTCCTACTAGGGTAAAATCTGCCAAGTGTGGGGAGGCAAATGTATAATTTATATATATGCAAAAAGTGTAAACTTTTCAAGGTATTGGAAGCCTAAGAGTCCTTGATAACCTACATCTTTGCCAGCATAATTATTGTTTTATTCTTAAAAATACAAATTTATGTGGACAGGACATGCTGTATGTAAGCATTTTGTCTTGATGTAAAGATTGGGTGTGTTTGGTGGACGAAGCATGTAAGGAAAAGCTGTAAACTCAGACTGTAATTAAATTTCACCTAGTATCATAATCAGTTGTCTGAAACTGGAATGGCACTTAGCTGGTCTGGGTCTAAGGAGGGAAAGGAAAAAATAGGAGATAGGCTATTGGGGAAGGGCAAGGAGGAGGTGACTGCTTGGTAAGTGACAAAGAAAAGTCCACAAAGTGGGAGGCTTTATGGAGAAGGGAAACATTAAGTTGAGAAGGTAGTGAAGAATAAGAGTAAGATCTTGGGGATTAGAGAAAAATAATATGAATAGAAGATGGGCACAAACTTAGAAAATGTCCATTCAGGGGGAAAAGGATCAAGCTGGTAGATGGAGATGAGGGGGATGCTAAAGAACATAAAAAGGGATGGTTTGTGTATGTATGGGTGGCCAGAAAGGGAGAGGTACAGCAGAAAGAGGAATTCCAGAAAGGAAGACTGACTAAAGGAGTGAAAACACAGGAGAAAAAAACACTTATAGGGAGTGGGGCTCATAAGGGACGGGAAGATCCAGGAAAAAGTTGTACTCCTAGCAGTATCCACATTGCCCTCTTTGACTCTTTATACAAAGGAAACAGCAACTTTCAAGGCAAATATATTAGAGGCTCCCCAGAAGGGCATTTGATCAAGATGACTCAGACTAGTTAATCTGGAGCCAAGTTTTTGCCTACAAGACTTTTCTTCTTTCAGTGAATTTGTGCAACACCTGCCAAGCAGAACCTTGGTCATCAGACTAAATATACTAACATAAGCTCTGGGCTATGGTCTGCCTCTTTGTGTATTTCCCAGAGGACCTAGAAATGGTAAATCTAGGACCTGAAGGTCATGATTCATTTCCCTTACACTGGATTACCAATAATTGTGGAAAAGAATGGTGTTCTCAGAACTTTAGAGATGCCATCTTGAGTTTGGAATATATTTTATCTGGAAGAACAGAATATTGCTGGATCCTTGTGTAGCAGACCCATCACTGTTCTTCCTTCATTTGAAATGTTCTTTGTCTTCCTAGAGAGGAGAGGCATCAGAGTATTAAGCCTAATATATCTTCATGGCGTGGAACTGTCCGTGCTTCTTTCAGTAGCTTCCTACTGCCACAAATGGCTCTATTCAGTGCTTCAACGAAAGGAGATCCTCTACCTTCTGGAGTCTTATTCTGGCTAGATCCACACAAACACAAAATCAGTGACTACTGATCCCGTCACTGATATTTCTTTACCAATCTTGATCCTTTTAAGCCTGCATGGAGCCTTGGTGGAATATTGTGTAGCTTTTTGTTTCTAAGTGATATAGGTGTCATGGGCATTCAGTATGGGCGTTGTGACTTTGTATAACTAATTCCTTTGGCTTTATAATGCCACATGGAGTGGTTATGGTTGGTGAAAAAGTGAAGTCCCTCAGAATTATGGTGTCTACTGTACTGACTTGTGTCCTTCTCTTCCTCTTTGTCTTGTCTTTTCCCATTTTCCTGAAGTTTCTCTCAAAATCCTTTCTCTGCTTTTCACATCTACACCCTTCACTAAATTATACTATCAGCCAGCTGTCATGTTTTGTTCTGCTATATGTTTTTATTATTTTCTATTTTAAATTATGTACTTTAGACATTTGGGAGAGTTCCCATAATGTAAATCATTTCTGGATTCTGAAAGCCAAATGAAAGAAACAAATGATGGGGGTCCATATTTTAACAAGGACACACACAGCTGGGTTTGTGGCAGACCTCAGCTCATTTTAGTGTCAGAATAGCCTCTTCAGCTGACCATGTCCCCAAGTGGCCTACCTCATTCTAATATGATGCACAGTTGTACAGTGGAAGTGTATTTGTAACTTTAATGCTGAACCTAGGAAAATCTGCCCCTGTTTTTCTTGCTTTGACCCCATTAATTTCTTAATTCATTTGTTTTATTTTTATCCCAGAAATGCTTACTTCAGGGTGGGCTCTCTGCTAGGCACTCTTCTAGGCATGTGTATGTACAATACAGTAATAAACAAAGGAAACATAAAAAGATCTTACTTTCCTGGAACTTTCATTTTAGCATGGGAAACAAGCAGTAGCCAAGATAAATAAGCAAATACAAAGGAATTTCATAGTGACAATTCTATGAAGAAAGAAAGTCAAGGAATGGAGAAATGAAATTTTAGGGAGAAGACTGCAATTAGAGAGAGAGGGTGGCCAGGGAAGAGCCTCACTTAGAACTTGAGTTTTGAGTGAAGACCTGAAGGTAATTTGAAAACTGGTCCTGTAGCTGCCCCTCCAGGTAGAGGGAGAGCAAATGCTGAGAACTCAAAGCAGGAGAACCCTGGAGTAGTTGAGGAGGAGCAGATAGGATAGCATCATGGATGGAACTGAGTGAGCAACATAGAGATTAGCAGGAGGTGATCTCAGAAAGGTCATCGGGATAGGGAGTCAGATAGCTTAGAGTCATTTAGTTTGGAATATGTTGAACAGAATTTGTTTTTTGCATTGAATGAACATTTAGATATTTATAACAGAGGTGTGACATATTTTTCTTCATATTTTACCAAGATCAATCTGGCAACTCCAGAGGATAGTCTAAAGATTGTGAATTAATTCAGGAAAATCAAATATGTTAATGGAACATAGAAGTGATCTCAAAAACACACTTGCACGTAGGAAACTTGAATTATAATAGAGGTGGCATTTCAAATTATTGATGAAAAAATATTTTGCTCAATAGTGGTGCTAGATTAATTTGTCATACATGTGTCAAGAAAGAAAATTAATACCTTTATACTTTATACACACAATGAATTTCAAATGGATAATGTTATTACCCAAATAATAAAAGCAATATGTATAAAACATTTAGAAGAAAATGTAAGAGAATATTTAATTTTGGAGTCAGGCAGTGGGGAAGACTTAAAAGCACAAAATATATATATCATGAAGGAAATTTTTTGATAAATATGATTATAATAAAAGGGAGAACTTCTTAATTACAAAAGTCATCACAAACAAAGCAGGGAAAAACAATATTTGGCTACAAACTATGATAGACACACTGAATGAAACAATAAGACAAACTGTCCAGAAAACTGGACAAAAATTGTGAATAGTCATTTCAGAAAATAGCAGCCATATGGTTAATTAATATAGACTGCTTTAATCTGCCTCCTGTCACATTATTCTATCTTTTCCACAGCATACATCATCTTCTAATGAATTATATAATTCATTTAATTAATATGCTTACTATTTCTCCTACTAGAATATAAGGCACTGAAAATGCATGGTTTTTCTCCCTTTATATTTATCAATGTATCCCAACTACTTAAGAAGAGTTCCCGAAATATAGTAGGTGCTCAATTAATATTTTTTGAATATGAATCTCATCAAGAATCAGGAAAATGAAAGATACAATTACATAATTTCCTAGACAGTGGATCAGCAACATGCATAATATTTGAAAATATATATTGATCAGTTAAACAAATAGAAGAGATCCTGTGTACTTTTGGAAGTTGAAGCTGGAGAGGATTTTGCCATTATCTAGTATATTTGAAGATGATCCCCTATTACCAGCAACCTTTTTCACATATTGTTGGAAGGACATTCTACACTCAAGAAAACAGTAAAAAAGATTAAAAATAAGAGAAAATAAAATAAAGGGAAGACATGTTTATTGCAATTTTAAGACTGAGGCTACTAAAACTCAAGTTTCCTTTCCTGCAATGTATGTGAATGTGTATGTTGTTGTCGTGTGACCATTATGCATCACACTGTGTGAAGCAGGGTCTAGAAATCTTAGGTAAAAATGCTAATATTCAGGCTGTTGCTGTTGCTATAATTAATAAGATGTTCTTTGTATATGAACAAAGATTTTTATTACTTCAGCTAGTACCTGGAAAAACTGATGTTTTACTTTATTAGCTTGTGAGTAGGATAAAATACTTTTTAATTTTTCTTTTTAGTTATATGTGACAGTAGAGTTTATTCTGATATATTTATACATACATGGAGTATATCTGATTCTAATTAGAATTCCAGTCTTGTGTATGTACATGCCATTGAGATTCACTAAGGTGTATTCATATATGAACATACAAAAGTTTCACCAGATTCATTCCAGTGTCTTTTCTGTTCCTATTCCCTTTCTCTTCACTTTATTTTCCTTTGTCTAATCCATCGAACTTCTATTCTCCACCTTTCTTGTTGTGTGTTAGCATCTACAAATCAGAGAACATTTGACCTTTGGATTTTTTGGGATTGGCTTATTTCACTTGGCATGACAATCTCCACATTCATCCATTTCCTGGAATATGTCACAAAGTCATTCTTTTTTTGTGGCTGAGTAATATTCCATCGTGTATATAAACTACATTTTCCTTATGATGGGCACCTAGGTTAGTTCCATAGCTTAACTTTTGTTAATTCTGCTGTTAGATGTGGCTGTGTGACTGTAGTATGCTGATTTTAAGTCCTTTGGGTATAAACCCAGGAGTGGGATAGCTGGGTGAAATGGTTGTTCCATTCCAAGTTTTCTTAGTACCCTCCATACTGCTTTCCATAGTGGTTGCAGCAATTTGCAGTCCTACTAACAATGAGAGTAACTTTTCGCCCCACATCCTCACCAACATTTATTGTTACTTTTATTCTTGATAATTTCTATTCTAACTGGAGTGAGATTAAATCTCAGTGTAGTTTTAATTCATACTTCTCTAAATTGCTAGATATAATGAATATTTTTAATATTTGTTGACCATTCATATTTCTTCTTTTGAGAAGTATCTGTTTAGTTCCTTTGCCCATTTATTGATTTAGTCATTTGCTTTTTGGTGTTAAGTATTTTGAGTTCTTTGTATATCAATGACTGGATACACTTTCAGTCATTGAACATGGAACATTCTCTAAAATAGTATTCAATTTTGGACAAAAAGTCTGAAAGACTGGGACATTTGGGGTACATCTGACAAGGCTAAGGAACAGAACTGGAGCTAACCTCTCGGCAGGAGCAGGAAAAAAAAAAACAGATCAAAAAAGATCTGTAACTGCTGAGAAAATCTTGGCTTGTGGAAACCCAGGACTGGAGGGGTAGTCCACCCTGGGTTGACTCAGAGGCTATTTGGCACAATAAACTGGTACATGAAAGTCATGATTTGCCAGCTGTGTATGGGGCCCAAGCTGGAAACACTTTAATACCTCCATGACCCTGCAGTCATACCAGGAACTTAGATCCATGAGTCTAGGGATGAAACCAATACATGAATCTGGCAGACACCAATCATGAGACGTAAACTGAACCTAGGAAAGCAGGAGAATCTCTGGCATAGACAACTTCTGCCAAAGAGACAAATTTGTCTGGGGGTAATAGAGATCACAGAGACCAGAGAAAGTCTGATGCCCTATCCTCACCCTGTTCTCTTGAACCTGGCATCCGGTGTGGGTTCAGCAGCAGGAAGAATCTGAATGGGGTGGAGTGACTGAGCTCAGTGCTCGGAAACAGTCCTTGAAAAGCCAAAAAATGGCAGTATCCCTGAACTATAGAACCTGTGAAGGACCAACTCCAGCTTCCTGTGGGTGGCGCTCTGGTAAGAGTAATGGGGTCCGTTCTGAGAAGTGTGTCGATTCATTAACACCTGAAAGCTCTCCACATAATAAAACACCTGGGGCAATATCCCAGCCCCTGGGAGCTTCACTTGCAGAGATTTATCTCACAGAACCCAAAGGCAACAATACTCAGGAAGTCAGGTTGCAAGCATCTTCCACAGCTTTTCACACCATACTGTGGAGAGAGGAAGCTGAGAAATGGAAAGGCAGTTTGACACAGACAGTGGGCAAAAACTCTCCTTGAATATTCTGTTATTTTTTGTTTGTTATTGTACTTTTTGTTTTGAATGTGTACTGATTGATACATGGTGGACACTTATACATTTGTACACATACATATTTGTTTTTGCTTTTTTAGTTTTAGCATTTCTTGAAGGTAGCTATTTTTTTTTGCTCTGTTTTTTTGAGGGTTGGGTTTTTGATTAGTATATTTTGGATTGATTTTCTATTGTCTCTTTCACAACTCTGTGTTCCTTTGTTTCTATTTCCCTCTTTTCTTCCTAATAGCCAAACTTTATTGCTATCTCTCTCACTCTTTCTTTAATTCTTCTACTTCAGTTTTTTTTGTTCTCCCCCCTTACAAACATGTCCTACATAACCTCTGCATTTTTCCTACTTAATTCTTGAATATACAATCCCTTTTCTACTATACAATCTCTTCTTATTTTCCTCTTAAACAATGCTATTTTTAATTGAATATTTATACATATTCATATATCATTATTTTCTCTTATTTTTACCATTTTATTTGAAGGCAGTTATTTTTTATAGATCAATATTTTGAGGACTAAGATGTTTAATTAGTATATATTGATTTTGTTCTTATAATATTTTATTTACTTTTTATTTCTTTATTTTTATTTATTTAAATTTTCTATTTTTTATTTTATTTTTTAAATTTGTATTTTACACATTTTTCCTCTCATTTATTGGTTTCCCTCAACTCTCTTTCTCTTCCAATAGCCAATCTCTATTGTTCTCTCTTTTACACTTTCTATAATTTTTTACTTCTATTTCTGCTCCTCCTCCTTCAAAATCATCACATCCTCCATCACTTCTGTTCTATTCCTGGTCACCACATAAAATAGTAAACCCTTTTGTAAACTTACTATTTTTACTTTGGGTAATAACTGATCATATAATTTCTGATTATTGTAACAATCAACATTGTACATTTCATTGCAAGAGCTATTAGGTTTAATGCTGTAAATTGTTTGCATTGGTTGTTATTATTATCTGTCTCCCCCTAAATGTGAGGTGTTGGAAACCTTCAGGGACACTATAATTCCACAAGGTAGAAATTTTACTGCCCCCAAACCAATGGTTAGATGGGTAGACACAAAAAACACAAAAAAGCCAGGGAGCAAATTGCCTAAATCGAAGCAAAATATATTAAGAAACAGAATCTATTGACCCCACTATGGAAGAAATGTCAGAGA